ACAATGAGTGGGAAGTGAGGATGGGGAAGTGGGCGGGAGCTTATAGGTCACCCCTTCCTGTGGGCCTGCCCTGCGTTTCTGCAGAACCAGAGTCCAGTGGCTAGAGCAACAGGCCCAAGTAGGGACAACTAATACAAGAAGGTGTGTTTGGCAGGTTGTGGGAGAAAATGTGGACCCTCAAGAAGAATATAGATGTGAGGGGCATCAGGCAAGAAGTGAGAATGTGGGGCTGGGCAAGTCCCTTAGGAGTGCCCAGCCTAACATTTGGAACCTTCCACAGGAACCTGTACCTAACATTTGGTACAGATGGGCCTTCTGCAGGGCAGGAGAGAGGTTTTGGGGAAATGGAGTTTACAGGGAGGACTTGATGGCCCAGAAGGGCTGGCTCATAGAAGCAGAGCAGGGTCCCACTTCCAGAGGGGTGAGCAGACTTTGCAGAACATGGCCTGGTAGAAGTGAGAAAGACAGGGGCATTGTTAGTCAGCCCATGATGTAAGGTAGAGGCCTAATCGCCAGGGGGGAGACACCAGGTTCGAGCCTACCAACAGCCTGTGTATTTCAACTCCTGCCTGCCTCTCTAGCCTCACCTTGCAGCAAGCTCCCTCTCATTTTTTTTCCACGCCAGCCCTCACAACAGGCTGCTTCCCAGTTTTCCTGCTCACCAGGGCTTTTGCACATGCTGTTCCCTCTGCCTGAAACACTATTCCCACCACTCTTTACCTAGCTAACTCCTTCACTCTCTGCTCATCACTTTTCCAGGGACACCTTTTCTGGTAGCCCCGATGAAGCAAACCCTGGATTCAAATGGTCTCAGCATTTTTGCTGCATTCAGTTTCAATTTAATTTTTATTTGTGTAATTATTGGTTCATGTCTGCCTAACATAAGCTCTGAAAGAGGAGAAACCAAACCTGTTTGGGCTCACCACTATATCCCCCAGTGCCAAGTGCAGTGCCAATACTAATATTCAATGAACAAATTAATTACTAATAAAAATAAAATGCTGGCTTGGCTCCTGAGTGACTGGTGTAGACCAGTGGTTCTCCAAGTGTGGAGGTTGAATTAGCATCTCCTGAGAACTTGTTAGAAATGCAAATCCTTGGGCCCCAGAATCAGAAGCTAGGAGGAGAAAGGGAGGGTGGGCAAGCTGCAATCTGTGTTTTAATGAGCCAATGAACTCTCCAGGAGATTCGATGCACACTTAGGTTTGAGATCTGCTGGCCAAATGCCTTAGTTGTGAACTTACAGGTGGCACTTGAAAGGAGACACGTGCTCAGATAAAAGCTCTATTAGGGGAAAGCTAAGCTGATCATTTTGGATGCGCCTTTGTAATAGGTTGGATTTTGGACTTGAGCGTTTTGAAAGGCACACTCACGTCAAGACTCAGCTGTCATGGGGCGTGGGGCAGTCAAACTAGTGTCGGGACTCAGGAGATGCATGTGGAATTCACTAGTGAGTGACACTATGGACACAGCTGTTGATAAGCGCTGCAGAGCCTGAACTTTGCTGGGGGATGAGGGTGGGATAGAGAAATGAAGCTGTGTGAAGACAAGATAATCCTGCAAACTCACAAATCTGAGGACATGCCGTTCTTCTCTGAGCACAGCAGGGTCCAGCCACAACTGGGAGCTCTGTGGGCATGGATATCTTCTTTACAGTCCTCCTGTTCTATAGCTCCCTCCTGTGCAATACCTTCTAACAATAGAAGCCCAGTAGATTTTTGTTAAATGCATGAGTGAGCGAGTGAGTGAGTGAGTGAGTGAGTGAGTGCCTCAATGAATGTGTAAATAAATGAATGGAAGATAGGATCTTCTTCCTAATAGAGTACAAATGTGGATTCTCTCTAGCCTGGAACCTTCCACTGCTATAGGAAGATCCTCTCTATTTAACCCTTTCCTTCTAAGGCCGTTTTAGATTGAACCTGGAGATAAGACAAGTAGAAGTTTGCAAGTTAAATTAACGTGCCTTTGATATCTTCACTGAGGAGGGAGGTGGGGAGGGCAGAAAGCCAATCCCTAGGACACCTGAAGCTCAATGAATACATGGAACTTGTTTGTTTTGTTCACCACGGTACCTCCAGCACCTTGGACAGAGCTTGCCTGGCTCATACCTCAAGCTCCACAAATAATGAATTGTCCACTGACTGACTTATGGGGTGACTGTTATGTGGCTGGCAATGGGCCAAGCCTTTCATTGGTCACGTCACTTCATTTTTAGCATGAAGAAACATGCTAGCTCCACTTTACAAAAGACAAAGCTAAGGCTCAGAGAAGCTGAGTGATGCTGAGTTGAGACAGCAAACTCAAACTGTCTGATGCCCATGCTCGTCCTCCTAGCGCAGGCTGGTTCCCAATATCAGTCAGCAGCCAGATTCTTAGCTGCCCCCAGCTGTGTGAAATTCTTATAGTTGGACCCAGGAGGATGAACCCACCTCCCAGGCCTCTGCCCTATTTAGTGCTACTCCAAGAGCTCTCTCTCTTCCTGGGAAAGGGAAAGGGATTGACTGTTTGGTCCCTGACAGGTTACAGTATTGTCCTTTGTCTTCCCACCATTTAGAATCTCTGCTGAAGGAGTGGACATTGTTTTGGACTGCCTCTGTGGGGACAACACTGGAAAGGGTCTCAGCCTTCTCAAACCCCTGGGGACCTACATTTTATATGGTGAGTGCTAGAGTGGCGGGGACGTGGCCACTGACAGGGGGCACTGCACATGTGTTTACAGACAAAGGCTCTGAAAGAGGAAGTGTGTTGCTATGTCAGGGTAATGAGATTGATGCGTTTCATTTTGTAATGTTTCCCATAAGATTGCTATCGCCATTACTTGTTTTCAAAGATAAAAGTAACATATGTGCCTACTGCCTTGTTATTCCCATGAGTCCTTCTCATTCCAAAGAGGATAATGCCAAGCCAGTGTAGTCACTGAGGTGGGACTGGACCTACGGAAAGTGACGCAGGTGGGACATACTCATGGCTTCCAAGGAACCTCAAAGAATGAAGGCACAAAGGACCCACAGGAGGATGGAGAGGAGTGGCTAAGACATGGGGGTTTGAAGGGAGGTTTTTCAGCACTGGAAGTGAAATTGCAAAGTACAGACACTCCTTCCTCTAAACTACTCCTGTGTGTCCCAATCAAAACCGAAGCCCTGGATGGATGGAGCACAGCTCTGCTTCTGAGTCTTGGATGTGGGGGGATTTAGGAAAGACATCTGGGAGTAGGTTTTCTCTAGCAGAGTGAGACCTCCTCTCCCTCTTCTTCTCTTTCTTTGAGGCGTGAAAACTAACTTAAATGTTAGCCACCACAAAGTCAAAACAGAATATCTGAAGCCAGATATCAATCAGTCCAAAGCCGGATATTTGAGCTATTTGGCACCTCTTTGCCCTGTAGGTATAACAGAAAATTGAGCCTTGGGGCTCTGTGTAACTCAGAAAAAAAAATACTAATTTTCCTGCTATTAGCTGAGAAGCTTATAAAAGAGACATTTGAGAGGTGTAACTATTCAAGCATCTTTTTGTTATCGTTAGATCTTATGAAAGAAAGACAGGAAATAAACTTTCCGCTGCTGGAGCATTTTAATATTTTCAATAATGGTCATGTATTTGAAAGCCCTTAGAGGTAGATGCATAATTTTTAAATTTTACTATTGATAAGAGACGCTCTGAGCGTCAGTGCGCAAGGTAAGGATATTGGCTATGACTGACGTACAAGTCAAATGCAATGGACCACTGATTCATCCTTACTTAGTTACTGATTCTAATTTTGCCCCAGTTCCATTTCATTTTGGTGGAATACAACTTGATCATATTGCAAGCCTCTAATTCATTACAGTGATTACTTGATTCCTAAGTAGTCTAAGCCTGATGCTTGGTGGTAGTCACTACATAAGATTAGAAGCAGTGATTAACTGACTGACTACTAGTTTACCCAGGCCAAACAATTAAGTTTAAAATATATACTGTATTTTCATTAAATAGCAGTTCTCTGAGAAGGACTTACTCCCAATTCTTTGGGGACAAGGAAGGAAACTCCTTGAAAAGACCCCAATATGGTAACTGAACTGTTAAGAGCCCTCTCATTCAACCCCTCTGGGAACCCCCCAGAGGGATCTTTTCTCTCTGTAAGAGCATCTTTGGGAAGCTTTCCTGACTTCATCTCCTATCTTCCTTCTGAACAGTGCATGTTCCAAATACCAAAGCTCTGCTTCTCACCACATTGCTCTCAAGTCATTTTTACCTTGCTGCTCAGACTTCTTTGGAGCTAACACGTTGGTCACGCTATTTTCGTGGCTTCTGAACGTGCTTCACACTTTTCTGCTCCTCCGTACCCCATTTTTTTCATCTATCTAAATTCTAGCTCAGCCCAACCTCTCCCCACCATTTAAATGCTCAACCCAGATCAGAACCCCAAGCCTCTCACTTGCCGAGGAATCCAGTTCAAACCATAGAGGAAGCTTATACTAGGAGCTCATGTCTTAGTCTCGAAGCACAGAACCAATGAGACATGTCGGCAACTCATCATTTTATTAGAATGCTGGCCTACACCATGTTTTTACCACATGCCCAATTTCCTAAAGTAATGAAAGTCATCTTGAGAAATATTACTTCCTCATTGATCCAGCGATACTTGGTTAAAATTAAGGCCACTTGACACCACCCACCCCCTCCATTATCACCATTTTTCCCAGGCTGACTCAAGTTCTTGACCGTCCTGGGCCAAACAAACTGCCGTTATCCCATGCATAACAAGAGATGTTGATTTTCACCCAGCAGTAGTCTGATTTGGGAATCTTCCATTTTCAGGTTCATCCAACATGGTAACTGGAGAGACCAAGAGCTTCTTTAGCTTTGCAAAATCAGTAAGTATCCGCGCACGTCTCACCCACTATGGGGAGGCAGTGATTCGCATGTTGTGAGCTCTTCCACGTTAAGGACATTAACCTACTAACCGAAGCCTTGTTTGTCCTTCATCTTCCTGGACGCCTGCATTCCCACCCTGCACGCTACACACGGACAGGGCTGTGACTGGGGCTGCTTTTGTCTACATGAGGCAGACAGATGGGAATGTCAGTGGAACTCCAGAAAGCTTTAGTTTGATTTCAAGTGAGATTGATTGTGTACATGTTTTTAATCATTGGTCGAAAAGGAACTTAGCGTGAGTGCATTTTATTTGCTCCGTGGAGAGACCAACCTTTGAGTTTGACCACTTTCTGACCAGGTTTCTGCAGGTACCTGAGATTTCTCTGTATCCCCATCCTGCTGAGTTAGAGATACAAATGGAATCCTACAATTTGAGTGAGCTCCTGGGATGATTTTTAGACACAGGCAAGTGTGTGAACCGCTGTCTTAGATAATCATGCTCTGACTGCAGTGGTTACTTTGTCCGCCACATCCCTGGGCATTCATCCTAATCTGAACCTACTTGGATCCCCATTCCCACCTAGAGATACACTTGCTAGAATTAAACTAATTTGGGCCTGTACTTTGACCCCCTTCCCCTCGACAACAGGGGATTGCTGTTTCTCATAAGAGCTGTCTTCTCTCCTCCCAGCCTCCTAAGCAGCCAGTACAGCATTGATGATTCACTCACTCACTTTGCAAGCATCTTAGGATCGCCTACTATTTGTGGCTTTATGCCAGGCACCAGGCATCACAGTGAATGAGACAGGTGCATCATAGGCCCTTGTGACTCTTACATTCTAATGAGGGAGACAACTGAAATAAGTAAAACCTATGAGCAACACAATTGTCAATGGTCCTAAAGGCTCTGAAGGAAATAAAAAGAGATGCTGAAATCAAAAAGGGCAGGGCAGGGTAGAGGCATTTTGAATAGGGTGGTCAGGGATAGCCATGGTAAGAGGTTTCGAATTCATTCTAAGTGTGGCCACGGGGTATTCATATGCCCCCTAAGTGCCAACACTGGCTGCCAAAGTTCCCCCCCACCCCCACCCCCCGCCAAACATTCCCTGATTCTGGAATGATTAGTACTTCCTGCAACATGAGATTTGAATTAAAGGCCCTCTGTTTGCATTTGAACTTTGATGTTCTGAAGGATCATCTCAACTACAGAATCAACAGGGAGTGAGCATGGAGCCTAAGGAAGGATGCTGTCTGGCGCATGTCCCCTGAAGACAGGCTTTGTGTCACTCACGGCTGCTTTGTTGCTGTGGCTGTAATTACCATGATGCTGACAGCCTGCTGTGGGTCACCAAATTGGTCCTCAATTACATACACTTTGCAAATAATGTTTTCCCTTTCTTTCTTAAATGCACAATCACAACACACAGTGTTAATAAAATAATTTCAGGGTGTCTGGGTTTGATGAAGGCACTCACAAAAACATAGTTAGGATGGAGGTTGCGATTTTCTTGCTCAAAACAGGGGTGCCAATTATCAAAATGCTTTATAGTTGGAGGTCAAGAATGAAGACTGTTCCCTTTCAGAGGCCTGGTCCAATACTGGTTGGTCTGTTAGAAGCAAACTGAAGAAAGGGCATGCCAAGGAATGGAATTATGGCTTTGGAAGTTTCTAGAAAGGAATTTTCTTCTCTACAGGCAAGAAAGACTTAGAAATAAAAGGCATATTTGGTATCATAAAGGAATTTCTTGCTCAGCTATCTTAATTTTCTATTCCACCTTAAAACTCCTGCAGAGCTTGTGCACACTCAAGTGTGCCCTTTGCTTTCAGACCCTAATGATAATGATAGTAGCAGGTGAAGTTAACCGTGCAAAGCAGTCTGACTCCAAATTCACAAATTTCACTAAATCAAAACCATCCTTTCTAACTTCATATGATAATAAAAATAGTTTCTATTTGCAGCGCGCCTGGCACATGTCAGACACTGAGCTAAGCACTTTGTCCATGTTAACACATTTACTCCTCACAATGACCCCATGAGGCACATTGGGGAAACTGCGTACAGAAAGGTTAAGTGACTTACCTAAAGCTGCACAGCTAGGAAGGGGCAGAACTGGGATTCAAAACCAGGCATGTGGCTCGAGCACTCATTGAACCACAGCTGTGTAGCAGCTGTACATTCGGCAAGCCTTGAATTTCACAAACATTTGTTGAGGGATGGCAGATACATTTTCAACCACATTATTAATCATTTCTCTACCTTTCCTATTGTGGCAAGTAGCCCATAGCTCTCCCGGAGCCAACCCTCAGGCCCTTGGGGAATGTACACTGGTAAAGAATTTGGGGCACAAATCTCATGCCTGTTTTGGACCTGTCTTTCTCACGCTTATTTTCCTAACAATATGATTTTCCCACTTTTAAAAAAAAGTCAAGACCTTTCCTTTTTTGAACCTCTTCAGTCCTGGAAGGAGACAGGGTGTAAATAAACAGAGCAATAACACAAATATTATCAATGTTCCTAAGTGCCCGTCATGTTCCTTTTTGCCACCTATATTAAACCTGTATTAACCATTTCAACTCTCAGAACCCTCCAGAAACTGGAACTTTGACTCTGTAAATTCTACCCAGCACCAAAAGAAACACAATCAAATTAGAACGAAATAGTTGGAGAACCATTTCTGTAGTTTGTTAATGGATCGTTTACTTATTTTCATGTCTGATGTGGGGAGAGGGGAGTCTGGAAAAGAGGCAGCCGTCTTTGCCAGTTGTGTGTATCCCCTGGAGGACTTTAGTCCAGCATTTCTCAACTTGAGTACTATTGACATTTGGGGCTGGATAGTTCTTTGTTGGGAGGGGCTGTCCTAGGCACTGTAGGATGTTTAGCAGCATCCCTGGCTTCTACGCACTGGAGGCCAGTAGATCTCCCCCTCCCCGCCGGGTAATCACTATAAAAACATCTCCAAACATTACCAAATGCCCTCTGGGGGTAAAACTGTCCCCAGCTGAAAACCACTGACTTAGTCCCAACACTATGGCTTCATCACTCCATCACGCTATTCTTTCTTCCTGTATTACACTTCCTTACTCATCTTTACCGGATGCATTCCTACCCACCTCTCCAGCCTTGTCATTATTCCTCACTAGGAAAGCTGCTCCTACAGTTAGTCGCCATCCCCACAGTGTCCCCACCACACTGTGTAACAGTCTCTGCCACCCTGATCCCTTCGCCCACCCTGTCACCACCACCACCATTCACTAAGCCAA